TTAAATTTGCTATAGGGTACATGTGCTCACCAGAGAGAGACAGAGAAAGAGTGAGAGAGAGTGAAAGAGAGAAGGAAAGTGAGAAGTAACTCCTCTCAGGAGGGATGGCTATGCTGCAACCCCTTCTCCTCTATTCTCCTCTTGAGAGTTTTAGGCACAGAGATATATAAGCCTGGCATGCTTTCTAAGCTGCTGGGTCCCGAACTTGAACTATGAAGTTGGCCATATGGTATCCAGCTGCTTTAACAGCCATACCACCTGCTAGACCCCACTGCCAGTTAATCTTTTTTTTTAACATTTTTTAAGGAATTATTTCATTTAGTTTATTATTATATTTTTAAATTTGTTACAGGGCATGTGCACTCACAAGAGAGAGAGCGAGCAAGCAAGCAAGAAGGGAAAAAGTGAGAAAGCATGCCTCCAGGTCTGGGACGTGAACCATGGTCAGCCATGTGGGAGTCCAGTGCCTTACCCACCATGCTACCTGCTGGCCCTGAGCCAGCTGATTTTTGACAAAGATGCCAAGAATATCCATTGAATGAAAAAAAAACAGTGTCTTCAAAAAACAGTGCTGAGAAAATGGACATTTATATTTAAAAGAATGAAGCTAGACCCATATTTCTCACTATATAAAAAAGATCAACTTCAAATGGGTTAAAGACAAATAAATATAAAACCTCAAACTACAACATTACTAAAACATAGGAGAAACACTTGAAGACATTGTTATGTGCAGAGTTCATAACTAAAATCTTGAAGGCACAGGCAACAAAATAAAAAATAAGACAAATGGGATTATATTCGACCAAAAAACTTCTGTACGGCAAAGGAAACAATCAACAGAGAGAAGAGACAACACACAGAATGGGAGAAAATATTTGCATACTGCCATCTGACTAGGGGTTAGTAACTAAGAATGCAAAAAACTCAATAACAAAAAAACAAATAACCCAATTAAGAAATGAGTAAATTACTCAAATATACAATTCTCAAAAGACATACAAACGGTCAACAAAAATATGAAAACATGCTCAACATCACTAATTAGTAGCAAAATGCTAATCAAAGCCACAGTGAAATCTCATCCCACCTAGAAAGGCTATTAACAGAAAGAAAAAATAACAAATGCTAGCAAGGATAGAGAAAAGGACACTCTTTTACACTATTGTTAGGAATGTAAATTAGCACAACCATTATGGAAAGCAGTATGGAAGTTCCTCAAAAACTAAAAATAGGGGACCAGCAGATGGCATAGTGATTATGTCACTGGACTCCCATGTGGCTGACGATAGTTCGAGTTCGGATCCAGTAGCTTAAAACTCACAGGGCACATACACGTGCAAGCCCAAGATCCCGGAAGGAGAAAGGAGAAAGAACTGGGCATGGCCGTCTCCCCTGGAAGGTGATTTCTTACTTTCCCTTTCACTGTCTGTCCGTGTCTGTCTCTGTCTGTCTGTCTGTCTGTCTCTCTCCAGTGCATGCATCTTAAGGCAAAAACCTCTAAAAAAAAAAGAAAAAAGAAAAATAGAACTTCCATAGTAATCCTATTAGTACATAAATATCTAAAAGAAAGTAAGTCAGTATGTCACAAAGATATCTATACCCCTATGTTTACTGCAGTGCTATTCAGAATAGCCAAGATAAGGAAAAAACCTAAGTCCCAATCAACTGACAAATGGATAAAGAAAATGTGTGTGTGTGTATAAACATTAAAAAGACAAAATCCTGTCATTTGATCATTTGATGTTAAATGGAATAGCTTGGAAGACATTATGGAAGTGACATAAGCCAGACAGAAAAAAATATATATACCACATGTTCTCTCTCATATATAGAAACTGAAAACAAAACTTCACAGAAGTAGAAGGATGAAATGACTGCTGGAGGTTGGGAAGGATTGGGGGAAATATAGGAATATGGATTAATGGAAATAAAATTGCAGATTGATAGAAGGAACAATTTCAAGTGTTATAAAGTACACTGAGAAGAAAACAAACTGCAACAACTTGTGTATCCCAAAGTAACTAAAGGGAGTATTTTCAATGTTCCCAATATATTAAGTAATCACAACGGTTGAAATGATGGCTCTGCTAACTATCCTGAATGATTTATTATTGCATTCTTGTACTGTAAAATCTCATATAGCTCAATAAACATGTACAATTATTATATGTTAATTTTAAATTATTTTTTAAAAAAGTTTTCTCAAGAATGTACAGAAATTGGAACACTTATGTTGCTGGTGGGAACATAAGGTGGTTTGGCTTCTCTGAAAGTTTGGCAGCTTCTCAAAAAATGCACAAGCGGGAACCAGCAGTTAGCGTAATGGCTATGTCGCTGGACTCCCACATAGTCGACCGCGGTTCGTGTCCCGGACCCGGTGGCTTAAAACTCACGCCGGGCGCGTGTGCGTACGTGCCCAAGATCCCGGGAGGAGAATGGAGGAGAAGGGATTGCGGCGTGACCATCCCCCCTGGGGGGTGATTTCTCGCTTTCTGTCTCTATGTCTCTCTCTGTCTGTCTGGCGAGCGCACGCGCCCTATAGTGAAAAAAAAAAACCCTCTCAAAAAAAAAATGCACAAGCCAACAATTACACTAGTAGTTATTCACCCAATATATATATCCACATAAAAACTTATACATAGATTTTCACAGCATCATTATTCATGATAGCCCCCAAATATAAACTATCTAGATTCCAATCACTGGTAAATCAGTAAGTTATTCAGTTAAGAAAAGCATTTGCCTCAAAATGGTTGAGACTTGAAAACATGATGCTGAGTGAAAGAAACGCAGTCACCAAAAACAGTCCCTATTACAGGAGCCAACAGGTGGCATAATGGTTAAGGTGCTGGACTCCCACATGGCTGACCATGGTTCGAGTCCACCAGACGCGTGTGTGTGGATGTCCAAAATCCCAAGAAGAGAATGGAGGAGAAGGAATCATGGCATGGCCATCCCTCCTAGTAAATGATTACTTGCTTTATGTCTCTCTGGTGAGCACACACATCCTATGGCAAAAAATCCACCCCCCCCAAAAAAGGGTCCCTATAATCCTTCATATGCAACGTTCAGAAAAAGCAAACCCATGTAAATGGATTTGCCTATAAATGAATGGTGGCATGGGTAGAAGTAAGGAGGACAAAGGAGAGACTGTAGAAGAGTAGAAGATTTACTTCTGGAATGATAAAAGTGTTGCAAAATAAGATCATAAGATAAGGTTGCCGGAAATGTCAAGACGTATTCCGATAATCCAATAGTTATATGAGGGGATTTCAAAAGTTTCTGAAAAAATGGAGTTACAGTCCATTATTTGCTGCAAGACAGTTTTGAAATCCATATATAGATTTCTCTAAGTGCGTTTTCCATGAACCTTGGAAGGTCCCTCACACAACTATAAATATATTGAAAACCACTGAATCATATACTCTAAACGGGTGAACTGCACAGTGAATAAGTTATATGTTAATAATCCTATTTGAAAATATAACTTTCAATATATCTGGTCCTCAGCATATCAGATTTAAAAAGAGCAATCCACCATTTTTTTTCCTCACCATTTTCTCAGATTATTCAGTTCTATACTCCTAATTTGAAGAGAGGAAAAAAAAATGTAAAATATTTGCTAACTAGTAAATATCATCTGTGGAAAGCAGAATTAAGTTTATGTAGACTCTTTACCATTCTAATTATTTAGTGTTCAGTTGTTGTTAATGCATTGGAAAGTTACCTGTTTAGGGGCTAGACAGTAGTATAGGAGCAAAATTACAGTTGGTAACATGAGAAAACCCACATGGAAAGGTTCTGGATTTGCATCCAGATACCTCCCTGAGCACACCAGGCACACGTGTACTCATGACTGTGGCTAGCTGAAGCTGGAGATGGATCACACCAACACCTTATTGATGGTACTATCTCCTGAGTACATGTGCACTCTCTCTGTCTCTCTTACTCGTGGAAGAAATAAAAATAAGAAAAGAAAAAGAGCAAAAAATTTAAGTTACCCATTTAGGCCCAGCCCCTGTGGCATAGACAACAGAATGAAAATGTACAATGCTGGAGTCATAGCAAAGGCCTGGGGTTCACATTCCAAGTTGACCTGAACATGCTGGGTGTGGCCATAGGTGTGACCATGATCCTGGCTGGCTAGAAGGCCGGGGAGAGACTCACCACATAGTGGGGCCCTATGAGGGATCCCTCATTCTCTCATGAAAGAAATTTTAAAAACTTAAAAGTTGTCTATTTGTATCACAAGATAAGTTATATTTAGCTCCCTAAAGCTAGTAAGGAGAGTTAAATAAAACACGAGGGTCAAAACAGTCTGTTTGGGTTAGAAGGAGGCAGAGAAACCTGCTAATAGTAAGAACTACAACCACAAATACCTTCTTAAATAAAACACCGTCTGATAAGTTCAAGCAGTGAAGAGAAGGAAAGGAAGTATCACAAAATCATACATTTACATTAGGGACTGCCTAAAACTAACTCAAAAAATTACACTAAAGGAACAAAGCAACAAGACTGTATTGACTAGCCTACCTCTGTTCTACTTTTAGTTGCTTAATTACCATCTACCAAAAGATGCACAGATTGTAAAAAAATACTCAACAAATATCTATAATATTTTCAGTTTTTCTTTTAAAAAATTAGAAATGTGCTTTAGGGAAAATGCCCCTGAGTAACAGCAAATGGTCAAAATGAAATGGTTCTAAGAAATAGTCCCTGGACGTTACTAGGTAAACCTAAAAAAGAGAAAAGTAGACCCAGGTATCACAGAAGAACACACTCCTCTCAGCTGCTGCCAGCAATTGCCCCTCAGGTGTGCCCCTCAAAAAGGGACTGGGGTTCTAGAAAGAGAGAGCCAGGGATTCAACTGCTCTGGACACGGGCAATTTTCTTGGAGCTTCTTTCTTACTGTATGAGAGAATTTCTAGATTTCCAAGAATACGCTGACGCCACCTTTCACGTCCCCACCCTAGCCCCACAAAATATACATTACGTACAAAAAAACTTTCCACTTGAAACTCATAGGTGTACGGCTTCAAGGAGACAGACAGCTGCTCTTCAGAAGCAGGGGCGAATCCAACGGAGAACTGGCAATGCAGAGAAGGGGGCGGCTCCTGTGTCCACTTCAGCTCCCAGACAAAGAACACCGACTGCTTGCGGTAGATGCACTGCAAAGAAAGTTGGCTGTCAACATTCACACAGCACAATACACCCACAAGTATGCTAAGAAGAAAGGCACTCGTGCAAAGAGAAAACAGTATGAGATAAAGCCATGCTCCAGGGAGCCCTGCTCAGTATCACGAAGAGTATGCCTCTACAGTCTACACTACCCTCCACCACTCTTCTCCTGCCTGCCCTTGTCCCAGTAGAATACTGCCCAGAACTAGTAAAAACGCTTTAATTCTTCATGATTCGACAGAAGCTTCAAATCATAGGGGATCATAAAAGAAACTTAGATATTTATTAGGATACTCATACATTCCAAACAGGGAGATACTATCAACCAACCATAAAGTAGCTTTACATCATGCCAATTACTTTATATGCTACATTGAGTTAGTTTAGGAACTAGCAAGAACTAATGCATGGACTGACTATCACTATTACAAATAAAGTCCACACCTACAAGCACAGCAACAGGCTTAGGCAAGATTTAAAAGTGGCTGAATATTGGCAGGAAAAAAAAATCTTTTGAAAGTGTCAGAGACAATGATATCCATTAAGAAAACCTTTGATCTTCTAAACACTCAGGAGTTTACTATCTAAAAACACATGTGAAAATGGACAGAAGGACAAGGTCAGTTCTCAACCAGGCAGTGTCTGTGACATGATTCCTCTGCACAGGTACACACTATCTAAGAGGCCCTCCCTCTGGCATAGGCCATACTTGTCACAGGCAGAACCATTTCCTCTAGGTACGGATGTCTTTACAATCCATGTGAGAATCTAGCACATACTTGCATTTGCATAAACCTCTGCATAGAGTAGGCCAAGATCAAGATTAGATTCTTCTAAAAAATGCAAATACCTGCTACCAGCAGGTAAGCATGGAGGTTAAGGCTCTGGATCCCAGATGGCCAGCTGCACAGTTCAAGTTCTAGAACCCAAGGCTAGAAAATCATGCCAGATTTGTGTAAATGTGGACCAAAATCCTGAGAAAGACTAGAAGAAAAAGGATTGGGGTGTGGACATTTCCCAAGGGGCATGAGGGTGATTTCTCACATTCCCTCTCTCTGTCAAACACAAAGATCCTGTAGCAAAAACAAAACAAAACAAAACAAAACAAAAAGCAAATACCAATCTATTTCCTAACCCACCCAGCCCAGAACAAGACCTGCAACCATGGCACACACAGCTCTAGCTGCAGAGCAGTCTTCAATGCATGCAGCTCACACTACTTAGCAGTGACACTATTCTCTGTGTTTAAAGGTTCAGCTTCAAAGCACACTATGTTACTGTCATCAAAACACTGCAAACACTATATTCTTATTGATTTTCTGCTGAGAAGTTTATGCTCAACTGTAGAAAAAGTTTACCTGTTGGCATTGTGTGTTCAATGGTATTAGCTGCAGGTCAGCACTATCACCAGTATCTACAAGATTGCTATCTGAGAGCTGAAAGTCAAGTTCTGACAAATTCTGGACACAAACTTGGATATATTTCCTAAAGCAGAAAAACAAAAAATATGAATTTGACATTAAGAAACTTTAATATTAAATATATTTTAGCTTTGTGAAGAAGACCTTCTTTGAGTGGGGAACCACAAAAGTGACAATGCAAAATAAGAGCAAGTTGTTTAGATTTCACATATGAAAAGTGTCTGGGAGAGAAGGGGACAACAGATTTTTAAAAGCTATTTCTGTAGGAAAATGACCCAAAACTAGTCTGTCTCCAATACAGTCCTATTACATGATTCTGACTGTATCTCTCTAAGCACCTAACAGGCTGTGTGATGAGCTATACGGGAAAGACTGACACTCTTTCTCATTACAAGTAACAATTATTTACTGAGAAACTAAATACAGGGCTCACCTTCATTTCTGTTACCCACAGAATTCTAAAAAGCAAGTCTTTAGTAAACACCTCAGGGTTTTTTAAGGATTACTAATGTTTTTAATCGTTTCTATCTACGGTCCCTCTGCTGTGATCTGACATTCCCTTCTAAACATAGTTGTGACATCTCTGTTCCCAAATGATCCAGACATCATCAATGAAGAAAAGCAATTGGGAAGGTTACAGAGAGAGGCCAGACTATTGTCCCTGTGCTCTGTGATCAACATCAGCATCATCATGTAAAGTGAGACAACAGATGCCACGCATCTCCTAACACAAGGAAACATGATATGTATGTGGCACCACCTCCGCACTCCCTTGTCAAAAGCTATAAATCAGAGGTAAACCCAGCCCCAGACAGGTGTTTCCCAGAGCAGGTGTAGTGCACTGGACACTGTCTGAAGGTATGTGTGGCTGTCACCTGGGGGTAGGGAGTACAATGAGATAAAGGCAGAGCCCATTGAGACTGCTAACACCCCACATGCATGAGATAGCCCTATGACAAAGAGTCATGCAACCTGAACACCAGAAGTGCTAAAGCTAAGAAATCCTTCTTGAGAGAAAACTGCAATCAAAATAAGATACAGGAAACAAAATACACCTCCAGGATGCAACCAGCTAATCCACATGGCAGATTTTCTAAAGGACAACTGACTCAAGTCTGTCAATAGGTCCATGGCTAAAAAATGGATGAAGGGGCAAAAAGAGACCTAGTAACACAATAGGGATTTTGCTTGGACCCCAAATCAAACACGCCAACTGTAAAATCATTTTTGAAAACAGATGTGGGAAAATCTGAGTTTGGAATGGGTATTCCAGGATGCTAGGGAATTGTGAATTTTAATAAGTGGATGATGGCATTATGGTTGTATAAGAAAACATCCTGAATTATCATTAAGGCCAAGTTCTGAGTGGGGTTTTGAAATCCTCACTTGGGAGTCTTGGGATAAGCTAGGGCCTGTGCATCACACCTCCATACCGAGTTCCAGCAGACAACAGAGAGTGCGAGGTCCGGAAGGGCACACTGAAGGTCAGCGCAATGACCGTGGAGTAGATCGACCATGGGCAGTCAATTGACACCTGCAGAGAAGTAGGACATACTCAGACCACTCATCTGCCAGCACAACCACCACCGCCACCATTATCCGAATTTAATCACCACTGGTCTCCTAGACATTTTGTTTCTTAGATATTTTATTTGCAATCAGATTCAGAAAGAAAACCCTATTAAAGATATGTCCAACCAAGTTAAGAAACATGATGTTGCGTACACAAGACGACACAGCTGGAGACAGAACACACTGCTAGAATGGTCCAAATGGCTACATAGCACAGGTGTCCTGGCTGTCAATTAACCCACTGATCTCTCTCCCACATGTGGGGCCATGATGCAGGGAGCTTCTGACAAAGTGTTTCAGTCACATGCATCTAACCTCTCCAAACTTAATAAATTATCTAAAAATTTAATCCATCTGACACTGAATATACAAACAAAAGCCAATCGATTCTGGGGCATACATGTGGACAAAGTTATTCATTCCCTTAAGGGGTGCAAGAAGCAAGTCTGAAGCCTCATCTGATCTCACACAGGGAATATACTAAGTAGAGAACATTCATTCTTCCAGTACTATGTACTCCTACTGAAAAAAAAAAAAAAGACCATCTTGGCCTCCTGATTGCTATATAGAGAAAAAAGAAGAAAATCCCTAATATACTCTTTGAGAACAGGAAACTAAAACAATATTCTTTAGGTAATTACCTGATACTTTAGGCTTTGCAATGACTGTGTTCTTCCCCTCTTTATCCTATTACTCTGGTGCATATACTTTGGGTGCATATACACTTAGGCTGTTTAAAGAGCCCTCAGAATTGACATCTGAGTTACAAGACAGAGATATTCCCTGAATAGACATGGTGCTGGTGACATATTCTTTGAGCAGATTTCCTGTGCATTTGGGACCAAAGTCATGTATATCTCAAATATCTGTTAATAAACAACAGCATCAAAGCCTAAATGACAGAGCTCCTTCCTTGTTGAGTTGGATGTGACAGTTCAAGAAATGATACTGAATCCCCAGGCCTGCTCATCAGACAATGGATCACTAACCCAATCTAACTCCTGTACTCCTAAGCTATTATTGTGGTTCTTAATAAATTTCCTTCCCTCTTGAATTGGGACACAAAGTTAGAGCCTGACTACCTCTGTCTTTGCAAAATACAACCCTTGCCTAAGAAGGAGTGATTCAGACATAAATGGGAAACACATGAACTCGTGCTGGCAGGCGCTCCAAAAGGCTGAACTGCCTCCCAGCCCCTCCTTACTTTGTGATCTGTGGTGACCATGCAGTGGCTGGCCTTCTGTTTATCCTTATGCTTCCTATGAGGCTCTGGCGTCCCCAGCTTATCAGTGTCTCCTCCAGTTGCTGGTGCTGAAGGTAAAGAGAGAACCTCCAGTTCGAATTCAATCACATGGTACGCAGGTGCAATGGGCAGGCTGATGCTTGTGACCTTGTCAGATGACTGAATCCGGAGCAATGCATCAGAACACTTTTCTACAAAAGACAGGAAAGTCATGTCCTACACATTTCCTGTGTTGGTTTCCCGCTTTTTCAGAGTGAATAGTGGGCCAGCAGGGAGGTCACAGCTCTGCTCCTTAAGCTCCTGTGCATGTGGAAGAACAGCAGCAGGAGGGACGAGGTGGGGAAACCAAGAGCAGACTCCCTCTGCCCACCAAAGACAGTGGCCACAGTGGCCTAGCACGAAGTGGGGAGGCTGAAGCCCACAAAGCCATTTCTCTCAATCTGAAGACTGAAGGGGACTAAGCATGTGCCCACCCAAGCACCAGGTATGCCCCACATGATACCTCCCACTCCATGCCATTAGCAGATCAATGCCTGCCCAGAAGGGACTAAGGCGCCTTCCCTTTCTACCCTCACAGCTAGGACAGGGTTGCTGGACATTCTTTAGGACTTCCAAATAGTGCCAGAAAGGTTCATGTGGGCTGTCATCCGCCTGCTCCACCCGCCTGCACACTTGCCAACTCCCACCCATGCTACTTGTCGACCCTGTGGCTACTGTCTCATGCTCTGCCTGCTCGTTTCACCCCTCACCTACACTGGGACCAGAGACGTTGAGGTAAGTTAAGGGAACATGACCACTGACTAAGGAGAGTGCTGTCTGTCACCATCTCTGCAGGTACCACATGTACCTGGGCCAGGGCCGTTGCCTGAGCACAGCCTCCACAGAGAGAGGAATCAGGCAAGCCCATAAGGGGACAGAAAAGAGTCAGCAAGAATTTCCAGTTTGCATGGTTTCTATTTGTAAGAGCAGAAAGGAGTCAACTGCCTGAAGCCAATAAGGTTCTGGAGGACATCCCCCTCCCAAACTTTCCTGCGGAAGGAGAGAAACGAGAGAAACTCTCCTTCTGAAACTCCAAACCCCAGACTCCCACCATGCATTCCAGTAACTCAACCCAGAGAAGAACACGGGAACAGGCACGGAACTAATACAGATCATCGGGAAGCATAAGCATAAACAACATCAGGAGGAAAAAATTGGACCACCCACCCCAAGCTGGCAGGAGAGCTGTCATGTACTGCAAGTTGACCAGCAGGTAGAAGTCCACTGAGAGTCAAATCCCCACAGTGCAAAAGGAACAGAGGATTCAAAGGAGAGCACACCTATCCCAACAGAGATAGGAATTTGGGCACTACAACACACCCCCATCTGGCAGGTAGGGTAGGTCTTTTTTTTAAGACTCAACTCCAGGGGAATGGTTAATTGCTCCAACCTACACTAACCACAAGGCAGCTCTTCCTGACACTCCTTGTCTCACGAACAGGTGCACAAGACCTACTCTAATCTGAAAGATATGGCTGGTTACTGGCCCTTCCTCATGAACTACTTTGCCAGGGTCACACATGGCACTAAGGATTGTGGTTCCCACCCTGGCACAATAAAACCTACTCCAGAAATTAGGAAGAAGTGAGTACTTCATCAGATGCCTAAAAATCAATGCAAAGACACAAGAAATATTAGAAAACAAAGAAATATCTCTCTCCCAAAGGAACACAATAATTCCTCACCAACAATGTATAAAACACAAGAAATCATACAAATGTCAGAAAAGGGATTCAGAATATTTACTGTTAATAAAATTCAATAAAATAAAAAAGACAATAAATTTTAGCAGAAGATAAAATCATTCCATGAAGGAGAAATTCCATAAAAAGATAGACACTCTAAAAATGAATCAAACAGAACTTCTGGAGATAAAGAATATAATATAGGGAATAAAATCTCCCTCAAAAATATTAACAGTAAATTAGACCACACAGAAGAAAGAATCTCTGACCTTGAAGAAACCTATGACTTAGTACAAGACACTGAAAAAGAATTAAAAAAAATAAAAAACACAACTGAGGACAAAACATAGGAAATTCTAGACACTACCAAGGAGCCAAATATCTGCATAATGGGTATTCCAGAAAGCAAAGAGATGGATAAAGGCATAAAAAAATCTCTTTCATGAAACACTATCTAAAAACTTTACAAATCTAGAGACACACAGACATTCAGATCCAGGACATGCAAAGAACACCAAGTAGATTCAACATAAGATCCTCTCCAAGACTCATCATTGCCAACTTGGTAAAAATTAAAGAGAAAGACAATATTCTAAAAATGGTAAGAGAGAGATGTCAAGTCACTTACAAAAGTTACCTCATCAGACTAACCTCAGACCTCTAAAGAAAAACAATGCAGATAAGGAAAAGATGGGAAGACATATTTAAAACTCTGAAAGAAAACACGTTTCAACCAAGAATACTATATTCATCAAAATTATCTTTCCAATGGGAAGGAGAAATAAAATCATTCCCAGATAAACAAAACTGAAAGAATGTACCAATACTAGACCAGTTCTTAAAGGAATACTACATCAGGAAAATAAAAGGGAGATAAATGGAAATAAGAAAATATAAAACAACTAAAAAAGTGACTAAAAAAAGGACAGGAATAAGTCCACAGACATCCTTAATAATGTTGAATTTTTAAGAGAGTTTTTTGTTTTTGTTTTTGTTGTTATAGGGCACATGCACTCACCGGAGAGATAGAAACTGACAGGTAGAAAGCAAGAAATAACCCCTCTGGGGGGATGACCACACTGAAATCCCTTCTCCTCCATTCTCCTCTCAGGATTTTGAGCACACATGCACACACACCCAGCATGAGTTCTAAGCCACTGGGTCCAGGACTTGAACTGTGGTCAACTACATGGGAGTCCAGCAACATAACCATTATGCCATCTGCTGGTCTCAACAATGTTGAATGTTAATGGACTGAATTCTCCAATTAAAAGACACAGACTGGCTGAATGGATTAAAAAAATAATAAGCAGAAACATTCTATATGCTGTTTACAAGAAACACACCTCGGTGATACAGACATACATAGACAGAAAGTGAAGGACTGGAAAAAGTCATTTCATGCAAACAGAAACAAAAAAAAAGGCTGGAGTTGCAACACTGATATTAGACAAAACAGACTTCAAGAGAAAAAGTATAAAAAAGAGACAAATAAGGACACTATATAGTACTGAAAGGATTAATTCACCAAGAAAATAAAATAGTTATTAAATATTTATACACACAGCACCGGGGTACCCAAATCTGTGAAAGAAAGTGCTACTAGATCTAAAGGGAGAGAGATACTATAGCACACTAAGTGTTGAGGATTTCAATACCTACTGTCATTACTAGACAAGTCATTTAGATAAAAAATAAACAAAGAGATACAGGAACCAAATGATACCATAAACAAAATGTACCTGATGGACATTAGAACATTTCACCCAACAATCACGAAATACATATTTTTCTCATGCCCACATGTACCACTGTTGAAAACTGACCACATAATTAGTCATAAAACAAGTCTTTACAAATTTAAAGTACAGAAACTATACCCAGCATTTTTCCCAACCACAATGGAATTAAACTTGAAATCAACAACAGAAAGAGCCTACAAAAAAATGAAGACAGGGAAACTAAACAATCTACACCTAACCGACTTCGAAACTACCAAAGAAATTAAGACTGAAATGATAACAAACACACGACTCTCTATTATCTTTGGGACGCAGTGAAAGCAATCATGTGAGAAGTTTAGAGCAATTAGTGCTCTTAAGAAAAAAACAGAAAGGTGGCAAATAAATAAAATAATGATGTTTCTCAAGAAACTGGAAAAATGGTAACAATCGAAAAAGAGGCAGAAAAAATAAATAATACTACATTCACACAAAAAAATAAACAAAATAAAAAGCTGGATTTTTGAGAGGATAAACAAAATTGACAATCCACTAGCTAGACTAATCAAGAAAAACAGAGAATGGAATCAGATAAATAAAATCAATAGTAAACTGGCACTATTACTATAGATATAATAGAAATGCAAAAGAACGTGAGAGAATACTACAAGCAGTTATATGCCAATAAACAAGAAAACCTAGATGAGAAGGACAAATTTCTGGACACACATAATTTACCTAAACTGAACAGGAAGAAATAGAAAGCCTGAATAACAACGCGACTGAATCAGTAATGCAGTCTCCCAACAAGGAAAAGCCTGGGTCCTAATGGCTTCACTTCTGAATTCTATCGAATTTTGATACAGATGAAAAAATCCTCAGTAAGATACTAGCAAAGTGAATCCAACAGCACATTAAAAAGATTCTACACCATGACTGGATAGGCTTTATCGCAAGGATGATTCAATGTACAGTAAATGTAATGTATCACACTAACACAAGGAAAGAGAAAAAAACGGATGATTATATCAACTGATGCACAAAAAGTATTTGATAAAATACAACATCCCTTCATGATTAAGACTCTCAGAAAAACAGGTATAGAAGGTAAATTTCTCAACGTGATAAAATTCACATGATAAACCCATAGTTAATATCATACTGAATGGGGAAAAGCTGAAAGCTTTCTCACCAAACATTGGAACAAGACAAGGTTGTCCACTTTCTCCACTCCTTTTCAACACCACTTTCTCCACTCCTTTTCAACACAGTAAGTCCTAGCTAACACAATTAAGTACAAGAGTAAAATAAAAGGCATTCAAATAGGAAAAGAAGGAGTGAAATCATCCCTATTTAGAGACAATGATTGTATACATAGAAAATCCAAAAGAATCCACAAAGAAAATTTCTAGAAGTGATAAATAAACTCAATAAATTGGCAGGATATAAAAACCAACATATAAAAATCTACAGCATTGCTGGTATATATACCAACAATGAACAGATCAAGGCAGAACTGAATAAAATGATCCCATTTATAATAGCTACACACACACACACACACGCACATACAAAAGCCTAGGAAAAAATCTAACTAAAGAGATGAAAGACCACTACAAAGAAAACTATGAAAAACTGGGGGAAAAATATCAGATACCAAAAAAATGGAAAGACACCTTGAAAAAAATCAATAAAACCGAAATGTCAGTTCTATCCAAATTAATGTACAAATTCAAAGTTATTCTGATCAAATTACTAGTGACATTCTTCACAGAGATAGGAAAAACAATCATAATATTTGTCCAGAATTATAAAAGAGCCCATATTATCAACACAATACTGTGCAAAAATAATAATGTAGGAGACATCTCACTACCCGGTCTCAAAATATAATATGAAGCTGTGATAATCAAAACAACATAGTACTGGCAGAAAAACAGATACATAGACCAACAGAACAGAGAATCCAGAAATTAATCCCAAACCAAACAGCCAACTGAATTTTTGACAAAGAACACAGTGGGGCAAAGAAAGTCTCTTCAGCAAATGTTGCTGAAAGAATGGGTTATCCACCTCAGAAAAATGAAAATGGACACTTACTTCTCACCATTAATAAAAATCAATTCAAAATGGATCTAAGATCTAATGGTAACCCTCAAACTATAAAACAACTGGTGGAAACACAGGAGAAACACTTTAAGATACTGCAGTAGGCAAAGATTTCTTAAGCAAGACCCCTAAAGCACAGGCACAATTCCAAAAACAGACAAGCAAGATCATGCAAAAAGTATCTGTACAGCAAAAGAAACAATAATTAGAATGAAGAGACAACCCACAGAATAGGAGAAAATACTTGCAAACTATGCTTCAGTTAAGGGTCTAACAACCAGAATATAAAGGGAACTCAAGTAGCTTAACCAACACCCCCCAAAAAAATCCAATTTAAAAATTGTCAAATGGGCTGAACAGGGAACCAGCAGTTAGCGTAATGGCTATGTCGCTGGACTCCCACGTAGTCGACCACGGTTCACGTCCCGGACCCAGTGGCTTAAAACTCACGCCGGGCACATGTGCGTGCGTGCCCAAGATCCCGAGAGGAGAATGGAGGAGAAGGGATTGCGGCGTGACCATCCCCCCTGGGGGGTGATTTCTCGCTTTCTGTCTCTATGTCTCTGTCTGGCAAGCGCACATGCCCTATAGTGGAAAACCTCTCCAAAAAAAAAAAAAGGGGCTGAACAGATCATTTTCTAAAAAGACATATGAATGGCCAAAAAGTATATGGAAAAAAAAAAAGGTTTACATCTCTATTCACAATGAAAATGCAAATCAAACCCACAATGATACCACTTAACCCTAGACAGAATGGCTATGATAAAAAAATAAAGAACGGTGAGGCTGTGGTGTAAAGGGAAGCCTCCTATGCTATTACTGGGAATGTAACTAATTAAGCCATGAAGAAAACAATTTGTAGGTTCCTAAAAACCTACATATAGAACTACCAGAATACCTAGTAATTTCACTCCTTGGTGTTTAACCAAAGGATAAGAAAACACTCAGCTGGAAAGACACTTGCATATCCATGTTTAGTGCAGCATTATTCACAATTGCTAAGACATGGAATCAATCTAAATGTCCAAGAACTGATGACTGGATTGAAAAAATGTGGCACTATACATTACTCAGCCACAAAGAACAATAAGACCCTGTCATGTGATACAAAGTAGATAAATATTGAAGATTTAATGCTAGGCAAAACAAATCAAGACTATGAAAGACAAACTATATATCCCCACTCAATATACACCAAAGGTCTGCATCCTATGGCAGAGAGACTCAAAGATATAAACAGTAGGGAGGGCAAGTTTAGATACCAGACTGTACAAGAGAGGGTGCACAGCAGGGAGTGGGAGAGAGGGGCTTGGGGAAAAATATTTAGCAGACACAATAATGTAAAGTTCTCTGTTGAAAATGATATATTAGGTAGTTGGAAAAGTCATAACGCATTTCTGCACAGAAAAATACATCATAACGTTTCCAATGACCCAATATATGGTAACACCTTGATTTGATTGTTACTACTGTGCATGCTTTGAAAAATCATATTGTACACTTTATAGATGCTTGATGATTAAATATAAATAAGAAATTAAAAATAAAGAATGAAAGGCTCATCTGCTTTTGCTCTTTGGTAGTGGGATGTGGGACAGGCAGGTGGCAAATGCTGGCAGAGCCTCACAGAGGAATGCAGGTCCAGTCATGATCTGCACCAGATGTCCTTAGTAAGGCCAACTCCATCTCCTGCTTTGTGTGTGTACAACTCGTACTTAATTCCTTCAATGGAAAGCCAATTCCAGTCATAGGTCACCTAAGTCTGACTTTGAGTGCTGTCTGAGGACAGTGTGGGGCTTAGAAGTGTCAGGCTATGCTGACTGATGGCAGTAAAGCAGCACTCATTCTCACAGTCTCAGGTAACAGGATGATGCTGAGTGTCTACCTGCACCACACGGCTGCCCCATGGCAAGCACCTTACCTCCCGTGTTAGAATAGACCTTGGCTCTGTTCTCTGCCTGACACAGGATGAGCATGGCTTCTGCGTTGCTGAGCTGGAGGCTGTCCCCACTTTTTATCGTGTAATGGCCAGTAGTGACAGTGAACTTGACCTTCTGAGGAATACCAGCCAAAAGGCTATCTGAAGAGAAAAAAGACAACAATTAGCACCACTATTAACCAGGGCCTCCTATAAAGAGAAAGGAGTACTCTGTTTTGTTATTATAAAAAAAAAAATTGTTCATTTTGAACACTCTATGAATCAACTCACTCAATTTCCATTCCCTTCTTCCCTTTTTACTTCAAACATTGACTCTAGGGTTGAGGAGGACTTTGCCAAAAATAAGAGCATTCTGAGATTCTGGGGCAATGGCGGGGGTGGGGAGGCTCTTATTCCCATCCTAGTTTAGAGTTGGAGACTACAATGGTAACTGTGTCCCTGAGGTCTCAAAATCTGCCTGCCGAAGAGTTAGTAAGAAATGATTGGATGATACAGCTCAAGAACAGACTGTGAGGAAACTGGAATGCACTGGTGGTATACAGAACTTCCTCTGATTTTTTTCAGTTCATGGTCATAGGATCTTTGGTTCAGAAGCAGCTCAGTAGAAGGGACAACTATCACTTACTTCTAGATGGAAATGGATGGGCAGGAAAAGGCTGAGGTTTCTGAGAATCCTGTTCCAGGGAAGGCAGAATGCATAAGGCAAGAGACAGAGCACAAGGAGGGGGTATAAAGAGAAGGAAGTGAAGGCCAGATGAAAAAGGAGGCAAAGACCTCTCAGAGCAGAGGGCAGTGGGAATGGCCACTGCCACCGAACACACAGAACATGGCAGAACAGGACCATGGAATACAGTCCACCTTTCTCACCACATGTTCTGTTCAACATCTGAGAGCTTGTATTAGTGACCGTGAGAAAAGTTTGAAATAGGAAGAATGGGGAAATTAAATGTAATAGAAAAAAATGTTTTTCTTGATATTTTTTCCAAATGGAATAAACAAGCAAATAAAAACATTTGCAGCCTGAACAACGGATACATTCACTTATTAGTGTTTAATTGTCTTGTGGTCTTCAATCATTTACCTTCCAGTTTTAGAACTTATCAAAAAGGACTGTAGCTTTGAATTTCTCAAATGTCATGTCATCAAGTTTAATTAACTTGGAATTCCAAGGAAAAGACTTTTTTATTTTTTTTGGAGATTTTCGCTATAGGGTGTGTGCGCTCACCAGACAGAGAGAGACAGAAAGCGAGAAATCACCCCCCAGGGGGGATGGTCACGTCACAATCCCTTCTCCTCCATTCTCCTCTTGGGATCTTGGGCACGTATGCACACATGCCCAGCGTGAGTTTAAGCCACCAGGTCCGGGACGCGAACTGTGGTTGACTACGTGGGAGTCCAGCGACATAGCCATTACGCCGACTGCTGGTTCCCTCAAGGAAAAGACTTTTGATCAGAGTACAGAACATAACTCAATCTATTTAGTCTTTAAAATGACTTTCTGAGTAGATAATTTATTAAACTCTGTAGTAGACAACAATAGCTAGTTTTCCTACTTTTCAGATACACCATATTTGTTAGCCATGAAAGCAATTACAGGAAAGCAGGTATTAAGATGAACAAAGAGCAATTAGAGGAAAGCAGGTATTAAGATGAACAAAGAGCAACAGTCAATTAAGCTTACAGGTAAAACTCAAAAAATCTAAAAGCAGACACAGCTGAACAGTGTCAGAAGTCTGGCATTTGAGAAATCTTCTCAGAATAACACACCACAGCGAGCTTCCTGTGGTGCTCAGAGGCTACTCACCAGCCAGTGGTTCCACATGCAGCTGGGGCTCCTGCGAGTACACGTCATACTGCACAATGGGGTAGATGTGAGGAAGGACAAACCACACGTGGCCCACTGAGGCACACAGCTGCCTGAGAGTGTACGTTCCAGGCTCCTTGGCCTATAGGCAGAACCAGACATTTGGAAAGATGTGCCATTTCTGTAGTGAGGAGCATCCTAAAGTAAAGCTGTGTAAGCTCTTTGAATTAGCTGTACATTTTTCTCTCTTAAATCATCCTATTTTTGTACATATACTTCAATACTGGTATGGTAAAAAATGCCCTTAGACTCTCTCAACCTATTATCTTCTGAATAACTAATGTTTAAATCTGACTTAAGACTTCTAATAAGGTATTTTCTTTCAACTGAAGAAACTGTATTTGTGGTATCCTCTGAAAATGTATTTAATGGAATCCTTCAGCTTGGGATCTGAGACCTGCTCAAAGACCAGACTGAAAACACAGATGGTACACAGCTGTCCCTTCCACTGAAAATTCTTGTGAATCAGTGGCACTTACAGAATATGCTGCATCAAAGAAAAATTAAGGTCAGACTGAGTCAGAAGCAAAGGTTTTAACACCCATGCAGCCTCAAAAGGGAAAGGTTTCCATGAAAGTGTACCACCTTCTTAAAATCTTCTCATTTCAACAAATGAGGGTGCATTTTAACACAGAGACAAAATCTATCTAAATTCAATAATCCAATTCGTTAAAAAGATAAAACCAGATCCAAAAACAAATGCAACTGACCTTTAAACAATGTAGGGTGTTGCAGAGCTGACACCCCCACCTGCACCACGCAGTCAATAATCTATGTACATCCATTTCCCCTAAACGTAACTACTGATAGCCTACGGTTGACCAGAGCCTTGCCAACAACAGAAACAGCTGATTAACACATACTTTCTCTGTGTATTATATACTATATATATATATTTTAATCTGCTCAGGGTCCATGCACTTATCAGAGAGAGACAGAAATAGAGAGGGATGGAAAATGAGAAATCACTTCCTCCCCGCCAGAGGGGTAGGGAATGACTACATCACAATCCCTTCTCTTTCATTCTCTTCTTGGAATTTTGGGCACTCATGCACATGCATCCAGTATGTTTTCAAGCCTGTGGGTGCAGGACTCAAAATGTGCAGTCACCCATGTGGGATCCAGCACCTTAACCTCCATGCCCTATGCTGTATTCTACGATGAAGTAAGAAGCTATAAAATAAAAAAATGTTATTTAGAAAATCATGAGGGAGAAAAAAAATCAATGTATAAGTGGACTCATGCAGTTCAAACCCATGTTGTTCAAGAGTCAAGAATATCTTATGTTAAGAACTTCATTCAAAATGTATCAATTTTCTTAAAATTGCATAATATATAGTTTTTTATTATGTCAGTGTATATTTCTCTAAGAATAAAGACAAAAACAGAGTTAACAGAATTGAAGACACTACTCAATTCTCACCAGACTCAGACAATTCTCGCAAGCTCCAGGCCTCTCCTTTAGCTACTTGAAAAGCCCAGTGTGAAACATACCTGAGTCCTGAATGTTATTTTGTTGGCCCCTGGTTCCAGAGTCACACTGCTACACCTTAGTACATGTGCCCCGTCCTCCAGTGCCACCCCCGAGGACGTTTCTAGAGAAGAGTTGCTCTCCTGCCTTCTCAGAAGCATGTGCACATTCCTGCAGATGATTCCAGTCGTGTTCAAGGAATTATCCGAAGGGCTTCTCTCAAACATCTCATACAACTCCAGAGCAGGTAAGTTGTTCTGGGACCCTGGGAAAGGTGAGGTCTCAGTTGGAAAGTTAATGATTCCATTGGATGTCTTGTGCTTGGTGAGCCACTCTGCAGTCTTCCGGTAGCTGTTCTTCTCGATGCTGAAGTGGACATTGACAGTAACCTGCTCCACATGAACAGGAATAGGCATCTGACTGCACATAGTTATCTCGATGGACAAAACACCACCCACATGGACCACAGCATTGGAAGGGTTGAAATGGAGATCTCTCAGTTGTGCAAAGGAATGCATGGGCAGCACTATCTTGTGACCTGTGGAGAGACATCACCATGTTTCACTCCCCAGGTAACACATCCAGATGGCATGGAAGCAGCAGAAACTTGCCTACAAGTGAGTCAACTGGAGCCCACTCAGCAACAGAAGAGCAGTGATGCTCAAAGAGAAAATTCCTGACTTTCTGCTAGCTTCACACACCACACAAGTTATTTAGTCAAAAGCACAGTATAAACAAATGTCTAGTTAATGCCTGGAAACTTTAACACCTACAGAAATTTAAGGCTTCCAAGGCTGCTTTAGCAAACCTAAGAGAATACAGGACAATTAACTCCTCAATTTCAAAATAAAATGTTTAAGTAATTCAATTCCTAGAACTGTTTACAAGGGATATTAACACTTTCCCACCTACTTAAAGTGCCCCACTATGTAACTAGAAATAAACTCCAGGTGTTTGCAGTCCATAAGGTCAGTCAATGAAGCAAGGGCCCCTTTGTTCCTCAAGCTTTGTTCCTCCCAGGACAGGAAGAAATCTCCAGCTCTCATCACTTCGGGGCTGAGAAGCCAACTGCTCCTGTCTTTGCCCTCCTCTCTCTGACCTCCTTTCTATGAGCACCTGGGTTTTGCCTAGAAAAACCGCAAGGCTGCAGAACCGAGCAGTATTAAGCATCCATCAACTAAAAGACTTGTTAAGATTGACACAAGATCACAAGAAACAGTAAACAATCATGGAATATTTACTTCAAGTAGAAATGGCAAGGAACACTGCCAGAAAAACCAAGACTCAGTCTCACATACTCAGCAGCTGACTTGGTCATGATGTCATCAACAATCACGCATTTAGGGACCTACAGGGCAAGGGTCAGCAGTGACATGGTAGTTAAGACACGAGACTCCCACATGGCTAACATGGTTTGAGTACCAGATCTGGCAGTTTGAAAATCATGCCAGGTGCATGTACATGCATGACCAAAATCTCAGGAAAAGAATGGAGACAGTGTGTCCATCCCCCCTGGAGAGTGATTTCTCACTTTCCCTCTCCCACTGTCTCTCTCTCTCTCCAGTAAGTGCATGTGCCCCATGGCAAAAAAAAAAAAAAAAAAAAAAGAGAGAGAGAGAGAGAGAGAGAGAGAGAAGAAAAACCCTAAAAGAACCTACAGAACAAACATATGCCATGAGGCTCCTGAGAACTCATCCCAGTGGTGTTATTCAAGTGAGCACAACCCAGCAGTCAATGACCAGGTAAGCCGAAAACCAAAACCTTTGGAGAAATCTGCATCCAAGTTAGTAACTGCTATGGACTGAACTGAGCTTCCCTTATATTCACGTAGTGAAGCTCTGACTTGTAATGTGAGGGTATTTGGAGATGGGGCCTTTGGGAGGTAATAAGGGTCAGACAAGACCAGGAGGGCAGACCTTCATGATGGGATTAAGTGCCCCTGTAAGAAAAGATACCATAGTGCTTGCTCCCTTTCTTCTACCACCATGTGAGAACCCACGGGAAGGCAGCATCTACAAGCCAAGAGAGCCCTCACCAGAAACTGACCCTGTCAGCCTCAACTCCCACTTCTAGCCTCCAGAACTGTGAGAAAATGAAAGCATGTTGTTGAAGTGACCCAGTCTATGGTGTAACAGCCTGAGTATTCAGTAACTACACGTCCTTTTCTTGGTAAACGGAACATGAAAAGCTAAACTTTTTAACACATTTAATCTTCTCACACAGCATTATTTACATATAAACTATATTTACCAAAATGTTTGACCAGACTTCCACTTTGATGCTCCCATGAGGAGACAGAAAGATAAAATTCCAGAAGTGAGCTGGTCTATGATACATTCGAAAATGGAAAGAAATGCAATACTGACACATACTACAGCATGGATGAACCTTGAAAACATTATGAGTCTAAAAAGCCAGTTACACACATTGATGCTCCCATTATTTACATATAAACTATATTTACCAAAATGTTTGACCAGACTTCCACTTCTCACACAGCATTATTTACATATAAACTATATTTACCAAAATGTTTGACCAGACTTCCACTTTGATGCTCCCATTATTTACATATAAACTATATTTACCAAAATGTTTGACCAGACTTCCACTTTGATGCTCCCATGAGGAGACAGAAAGATAAAATTCCAGAAGTGAGCTGGTCTATGATACATTCGAAAATGGAAAGAAATGCAATACTGACACATACTACAGCATGGATGAACCTTGAAAACATTATGAGTCTAAAAAGCCAGTTACACACACACAAAAACACATATGGAATGATTCTATTTACATGGAACCTCCAGAATCGGAATCTGTAGAGACAAGTAGACGAGTGGTTGTCAGCAACTGGTGGGAAAGGAAGTAAATACGAAGTCTCGTTTTGGGTTGATAAAAATGTAATAAAATTGACTGTGGTGATGGTTACACACATCAGTGAACATACTAAAAGCCACTAATACGTATACTTCAAATGGGCAAGTTATATGGTATGTGAATTATATCTAGACAAAGCTGTTGTACTAAAAATGTCAGTGTTCTACAAAAGAAGAAAAAACAAAGAAAATGAACTGTTCTAAATTAAAGAACTGAGATTAAGGAGCCACCACATGGCATGGTGGTTAAGGTGCTGGATTTCCCACACGGCCAACTGTACCTCAAGTTCTATACTCAGCAGCTTATAAATCGGGTGCATGTGCATTTGTGCCCAAAAATCCCAAGAGAAGAATGAAGGTGAAAGGGGTGAGGTGTGGCCATTCTGCCAGGGGAAGATTCTTCACTTTCCCTCTCTCCATCTGTCTCTCTCTGGCAAGCACACATACACTATGGCAAAAAAAAAAAAAATCTTAAAAAGAACTGAGATTAACAACCAAGTACAATATGTGACTCCCTCAATAGACTCCATTAAAAATAATTTACAGAAACATTTTTAAGTCAATTAGAGAAATTTGAATATGGATGAGTTAGTAGATGATACAAGCAGCTTGTTAGTTGTTTGGGTGTGGTTAGGAGAACATCCTTATTTTTTGGAAAACTCATACATACTGTCAAGGTAAAGTACCATGCTGAAGTCTGAAATTTTGTTGATGTTCAGCAAAAAGAAGAGATGTAAAAATAGCTAGAGGCACATGTTTGCTATACAGCAAAATGTTTACAGTTATGACTCTAGGTGGTGGATATATTCTGTACTATTCTTTTTACTTTTGGGTAGCATTTGAAAATTTTCATAAACACATTTTAAACTTAGTCTTACCTGAGTTTTCCAATTGCTGGCTGGCGAAGCTGAGTATCTCCTGGCAGAAGTACTTCCGCTCCTCTTCAGGTAAGTGACAGTCGCTAGCTAAGAGGCTACTGGTCTGAAGGTAGCTAGAGAGCAGAGTTAAGGGGCCTATAGAGAGGACCTTGCAGTAAGCACAAATGGTATCGGAAGTCCCCTACAGCCTTCAAAGCACAGCCACAGGGCATTCTTTTTCTTCTAGTCACTAAGTTATTAGAAACTCATAATTACATAAACAAAACAAAAAAAGAGCACCACCTAAGCCTTTAATTCACATTCTACATGGCATATATACATATATATGCAAACACACATACATACACACACACGCACACACACACATACATACATAACCAAGAGAACTTTTCTCTCTTTAACATGGGGTATTTATTTAACACTCAATTCTGGATAATGTTGCCATATGGACAGAAAGCAATTTTCCTACTGCACCAACACAGTGGACTTAGTAAAGGATACTTCTCAACTTGCCCAAGGTGTTTCTGACACTCCGCCAGCTGCTTCCTTGTGTGAGTGATGGGCAGTGCCCAGCCTTCGGCCAGGTAAGTTTTCAATGCACCTTGAAGGTAGGATTCTGCCTTCTGTGGTGACTTCTTCCTCCTTGCAAAGTCAATAGAGGCTTTCATTATGGCTCATGGCAATCAACAAATGCGGGCACGAACTTGCATACCTTCCCCATCCTCCCTACCCCATGCCACTGTGGGCCACAGAAGCAGTACCACCTTGGATGTCTGGAGCCAGACCTGTTCCAACCACCTCTCATCTGAGAAACGGCACTAACGAGGGACTACAGTTGGACTCCAAGGTGGAGATCTGAGACATCGGCTCATACTGATGCCGCCAAAACACACTGTCTAGCTTAAACCCTAGTCAAAGAACATTCCCAGGTGTGTCTCAGAATAAGAAAGCAAAGCATCTTTCAGCATTTCCAGCTGAAAGATGAGAAGCTCAAAGATAAAAGAAGTGAGAGGTATGTCCACAAGTACACAAGCTGCTTAGCAACAAAGTCCAGAAACCTAGACGTGGTACTACAGTACGTACTGAAGATGTCCTGAAGCAGTCTATGCTGCCCACTTGGGAGGAGCCTGGGTCACCTGTGACACCTAGGCAGATGGCACGAGCAGAGTTCTGAGGTCTACAGAAAACTATGACAAACTGCAATAGCAACACATATATAATTGAAGAGCAGCCCTTTCCAGTCTCAATTTAAACTTTAAAGATGCTCAGAATAAAACAAATTGAAGTTTAAAGCACAAACAAATGGGGGGTTTGCCAAGCCTCAGTGACAGCATACATTCCCTCTTCCCCAGAGGGCTGGGAATTAACTCCTGGAATAAAGGCCAAGGCTGAATGAGCACTCACTTCTCCCAGGCAGGCATCGTCAATCTCACTATTCTACTCTTGAAGCCATAAGAGAGTTCCCAAACTCTCAAATTAAATAAATCCTCAAATTAAAATACACTCTAAGCTTATCAAACTATGTATAAAATTATGCTGGTTTTTCTAGACTTTTCCATTTTTCCTGTTTTTTTAAATACTTCTTCAACTACTACTTCTAGTCGAAGATTCTGACATTCTAGGGACCAGCAGTTAGCGTAATGGCTATGTCACTGGACTCCCAGGTAGTCAACCACGGTTCAAGTCCCGGACCTGGTGGCTTAAACTCACGCCAGGTGTGTGTGTGTGTGTGCCCATGATCCCGAGAGGAGAATGGAGGAGAAGAGATTGCGGTGTGGCCATCCCCCCTGAGGGGTGATTTCTCACTTTCTGTCTCTCTCCCCCTAGCAAGTGCATGCACCCTGTAGCAAAAACCTCTTAAGAAAACAAAAAAAAAAAAAAAAAAAAAGATTCTGACATTCTAGAGCTGGAGGAGACTCCACAGATAAGTTTGTCCAATCTCTCAGTTTCTACACATAAGACAGAGGCCAGCCACCACTCAGCTAGACCAGCTAGTTGGTTGCCACACAGGAAACAGGATCCTGGCCTCCAATTAGCAGGCAGCACCCGTGACTATAATTCCTTGCCTCAGAATACACTGGTGTTACAGTGAGCTAAACTCATTGCACCTAATGGTATGGCTTCTTTGTGCCAGTAATTAATAACTTATATCCTATAGACACTAGATAGAGATTTAAGAGAGCTAAAAACTAACCCCGACCTATTAATTAGCTATCTAATTGGCTAGCTGCTCCAACCATATCTGGAAAACTAGTTTTACTTAGATGATCTACAGATCCTTTTCAATCAAACCAGCTCAATTAAATTATTCTTTCTTGCTTCATCTAATGAAATTGCATTATTAAGTACAAATGTCAAGATATTATTGCAAAGACACATTTCTGAGAAATTATCAATAAATAGTTTTTCCCTTATATCTCTTGTTAGTGCTTTGAAACAATAATTACACTGCCTGTTGTGAGTGCTTGTCTTTGAGATGCTGCTTTTTATCAAATGTACTAGAAGTATGTGAGATGTTGAGTCTTTCCCCAGGAATCAAACTCCAAAGCTGGAGCTGGAATGGAAATCTTCCCAGTATGAGTATACACCTCTTTCTAATCACTGCCAGATCTTCCCTCTCTTGTGCTCCAATGCACGTGGTTACTTTACACCACTGGCCTGGAGGTGTTCAATCCTGCTAAAAAGTACTTGACATAAACTAAAGGAATGCTATACATCGTTATACTTCTATAACTAAATAAAGTTACTTATACTACTTAATTAAATAAAAGAACCTTGGGCCCAAAAGGTGGCATAGTGGTTAAAGCACTGGACTCCCATATGGTCACCACAGTTCAAGTCCCAGAACCAGCAGGTTGAAACTCATGATAGGGATGTGTGCATCTGCCCAAAATCGTGAAAGGAGAATGGAGGAGAAGGGAGTGTTGCATGTCCATCCCTCCAGGGGGTGATTTCTCACCTTCTGTCTCTCTGTCTCTCCTGCAAGTGTACGTACCCTATAGCAAAGATCTCTCAGGAAAAATAAATTTAAAAAATTAAATTAAATAAAAACACCTCAAGGATTATAAGAATTGTTGAGGGTAACAAGCCAAAAAATACTCTCCATTTGGTTTTCAAAAGAAATTGAAGGGACCAGCAGTTAGCGTAATGGCTATGTTGCTGGACTCCCATGTAGTCGACCGTGGTTCGAGTCCCAGACCCGGTGGCTTAAAACTCACGCCGTGCCCAAGATCCCGAGAGGAGAACAGAGAAGGGACTGTGGCGTGGCCATCAACCCTGGGGGGTGATGCGCTCTTTGGTGAGCACATGTGCCTCATAGCAAAAAAAAAAAAAACTTCTCAAAAAAAAAAAAAAAAAAGAAATTGAGAACAAAATGATGCTTGATTCTACATTTTTCAGTCTACACATATACTTTATATTAGCACCATTCAAAAATCTTACTCCTACACATGTGAAATATTTATGATCCTAAGAAAAGTTTATGGGATCAGATGTGGCACAATGGTAAAGCACTGTGTTCTGTGAGGCTCACCCACATGGGAGAATTCTGGGTTCATGTTCGGAGATCTCCCTGAGCATACCACGCACATGTGTGCCCATTATCCAGGGCAGAATGGGGCTGGGGTGAACTGTGGTGTTAAGACCCTGTTGAGAGTACTATCTTTGTGTGTGTCACACACATCTTTTTCTGTCTCGGTCTCATGGAAGGAATAAACTTTATAAAAAATTCGAAGAAAAGTTCAAGATCAATTACATGTAAAATTCTGCCAGATCTTTTCCAACAAACTTAGCAGATCGAATCCTCCCAATACTTGTGTACATTTCAATGGTAGCATGGGATAAATCCTGTGGAAAAGTTAAAAGAAAAAAATAGCATAATTACATACTAGAGTTTTTAATGCCAGACACATCTTACATTTACTTGCCCAAAGGTGAAACTAAAGACATCATTAATGTATCTTTATTATTTAGTTTGCACCTATTTTTGTATTGAGTTTTCCTATAGTATGTGATCTATACAAAGCAGGAAAACTTACATAAATTATAAAGCATATTAATAATTAAAAAAAATTCTTCCTACACAGAATATTTAATTTTTCTAAGTGCTTTTCATACGTGGGAAACATTTTTTATAACTTTCTCACCTGTCTGCATAAGAGACAAAGCTTCATAGTATCCAATCAAATACTGTTACCTGCAACCCAGAAATGAAGCTGATCCATTGAGCTTCTATTTAGACTGCTTTCTCAAGGCTAACTTAAATCTTTTAAAGTTAAGCACATTGGTGGCCAAGCAGTAGTGCAGCAGTAAAATGCAACTCTGCAAGGGTGACTCACACAGAGGGTTCCAGGCTTGCATTAAGAGACCTCCCTGAGTATGTTAGGCATGCACATACCCATGATCCAGGGCTGGCCTGAGGCTGAGGTGGATTACCGCATCAAAATACTATTGGAGATGCTGTCTGTCTGTCTGTCTGTCTCTCTCTCTCTCTCATTCAGAAAGGAAACAAAGTTTATGCTTTAAAATAAATCATGTATGATACTTTTGCTCAAGTCCAAATTAATTCTTTTCATAACAAAAAGTATTCCCTATCTTCTCTGATAATTTCTTTCCTACTGAGTGTGCAAACCTATTTTGAACAAAACTGTAAGTATTCAAAAAGGTTTCATGACTAATGATGGCATGACCAATTATGGCACCACAGGTAAGGTACTAATACACATCTGATGAACAATTACTCCATGTTTTTTCTACATCTCAAGGGGGTTCCAAAGAAACAAAAAGGACTACAAAGAAGACAGTCCCAAGTATCAGTTCAGTCCCATCTTGAAAGATCAGGCAGTAAGCAAGGTTGTCCAGTGACAGTGTGGCTCTGCAGAGACTAGAATACTGAGATACTTACTAAGTAGTGCTTCTCAAAAGCCTCCACTGACGATAATGCTTCTTTAAGCTTCTTATAAGGACTCTGAGCTGTGTTGGCTTAAACAAAAAGAAGTAAGAGTCCTTATCTTCATCATGTATGTCACGTGATTTACGTTCCACTTCGACCACTGCAGGGGGGGTGAGCTCATCTGACCCTTGAGGAAACTGCAAACACAGCCATGCCAACTAAACGACATCACTATGTATGTTTTCTTCCAATTAACACATTCACGAAACAGTGTCTAAACCTTTCATGTAATACTTTCCCTGATCTTTGGGATTAGAATTTTTTAATTTGCTAGAGGATGTGTGAACTCACCAGAGAGAGACAGAGAGAAAGGGAAGGCAAAAAAGCACTCCCTGTGGGGAATGGTCATGCCGTAATCCCTTCTCCATTTCTTCTCTTTCCAAGGTGTTGGGCACACACATGGGCGCCTGGTGTGATTTTCAAACCCCTGGGTTTAGGATTTAAACTGTGCAGTCAAAATCCAGTTCACAAAATCACCAGGCCATGGACTGGCCCAAGACTAGAATTTTTAAAAAAATCATCACAACTACTTCAATAAATTAAATTCTGAATTTAACTGGTCTTAAGTTGAAATAGTGCAGTATAAATGTTATACATTTCTTTAAAATTTATCTAATTTAGTAGCAGTGCTTTCAGCTCATTAGGTATACTTTACTATTCTTTAGCAACAGTTTTACTAATTATACACTTATATATCCATACCTAAAACAATCAGTAACTCTTCTTTCACTATGGCTCATGGCAATCAGAGAACTTAATATACAACCTTCACACCTTTCCCTCTGTCCTTCTATAAATGGTATGAAGAGAAAGCAGCCCATGAAAAGGCCATTACCAAGCCAAGGCAGAGGCACCACCTTTAAAATCTGGAGCCTGCCCTGTTCCAACCACCCCCTCATCTGAGAAAAAGGACCAATCCAGGACTACTAATTGGACTTGAAGGTGGAACTGAGTATAGGTTCATAGGGAAAATATTAAAACACATTATTGTAAAAAAAAATATTCTCAGAGTATTTATCATCTAGCAATAATTTACACACTGAAAAGATCTGTAGGGCTGTGGTATTTTAAAAAAATAGACCATCTATAATTCAGAGGGAGATCAGTGCTTTTAAAATTCACACAGGCTATGATAATTATGAACAGCTCAGTTAAGCCTAGGAGAAACTGATTTATTTTTGAAAATCCTTCAAATTTCCTAAACTATTTTTGATATCTAGTTATGCTATTAAAAGGTAAAATACCTTACGTATTAGCCAATCAGCTAATAATGGGTATGATTTCCTAAGTGGTAAGAATATTCTCAAAAGCCAAGTTACATATGCTGAGTCAACATGACATGTGGGTCACTTCCCCCCATCCCACCCCATACAGGCACACCCAAATACCTGTCTCAGGTCGCTCAGCTCCCAAACCTGCCAAAAGATCAACTGTCCTATTGAGATCTTCTGAGTTAGGGCCTTTTTCTGACACAAGTCCACACAGATAGCCCAAGGACTTTAGCTGTTGAGATAAATCCACCATTTCCATTAGCTACCATAATTCTCAGTAGAGAACTCACACATTTGGATATAAATACTTAGATCCATTTCAATTTCACACTTAGATATAGAAACATATCCAACTGGGTTCATTCCACACAATAGTTCCCAGTGTGGTGCTGAGATTAGTCTTTCTCTGCTTCTGGCACTCAGCTATCTACATTCTCCCAGCATTCCCGGTCTTCCGTCCCCTACATGTCCAACAGCCCCAGCTCCAGCAGCTCCTCTACTGCACAGTGTACCACCTGTCAATCACGTAACCAGAAGCCACTCTGGGTTTCTACACAATGCTTCTTCTTTGTATACTCTGCCCCACCCAGTTTATTCCTGGCATGAATCACTTTTTTGGCACATGCACAGTGAGTGCTTGCTATCTGCTGAGTGAATGGGCACATAGAGCAACGGCTTCTGGGGCTGTATCTAGAAGATGGTCATATATCCCTCTAGAGTCATGAGAGGCAACGTGTTGTGATCTAAATGATCACTACTGTTCCCAACAGCTGTATGCATCTGCTACACACATAGCCTGTGGAGGGCCCACGAGTACACTGTACACAAGGCACTTACCTTTTCTGTGGCGTAGCTCCACAACCCCACTGTGTGTGCAATGTTGGAGTCTATCTGTGCCCGGTCACAGCAGCCTTCTATCCTCTGCAATACCTCCAAACAGCTCAGGAACACCCAGCAGTCCAGGGCACCCGGTGGGACAGAGACCTGGCAAGAGCACAAGTGCAGGCATGTGAGGACTTGGGGAGCACAGATACACACATATAACCTGAAGACCCAAACTGTTTGGCCTCTCCACAGCCACCCAGTCTAACAGTGCTGTAATCTGCAATGCTACAGAGAAGCAAAGGGACAGAGAACAATTATTACCGATGGTCCTGCAAGAAGAGAAAGGGCATGGTCTATATCCAAACATGTGATTGTGTTTACATACTTGATGATAATGGGTGACAAGCAAGATTAATACCTACAACTTAGAAAACCATATGAAGAAACTGCAGCTCATGGAAAAGCCAACTATCATCACTTGCTCCAAGTTGAAGAGAGGGATAAGAGGCACAGACCTTGGCTGACTACCTGATCATGTTTAGCAGCAAGACGGAATGTGGAGTACATAGCAGATAATACAGAGAAATTAAAGTCCAGTTCTTAAATGTATAAAGACAGTGTGATTGCATTTGTAAATAAGAGGCTTGTTGCTTAGATGTGCACCGAAATATTTACAAGTAAAATATGATGTACAGAATTTGCTTGACAAATAATTTAAGGAGTAGCAGAAAAGGACACAAACAAAAGAAGGGATTGGCCCAAATGCTGCTGTTGTACTAGAAACTCATTACATTACCCTCTCTCTGTTTGTATATATTGAGTCTTTCCATTTAAAAAATAAAAATGTTATATTATCAGAAATGCAAAAGCATCTACTACATACAACAGATTCTAATGTGCAGTTTCCACCCACATTTTAACATCTTTGAAACAGAAGTGTGTCTCAAAGTCAATGGCACCTGACACATATAGTAACTGGCAATGCTACTTTCTTCTTGGTGGTACTAACTACATGATGTATGTCACAACTGGCATCCGAACTTTGGTGACTATTCAAAACAGGAACTTAAGAGGTAATTCTACATCAGCTGATGAATGAAGAGCTGCATAATGCTGACAGGTTGACTTACACAGGGCTCTTTCAAGACACCCTGGGCACAAATAAAAGTAAGGGATCTAGAACCAACTAGAAAGAACCAAAGAGTATCGTTAAATGTTCCCGGAAAAGATAAATTACTGGGCTGGCTCCATGGCCTGGTAATTTAAGGCAGCTAGATCCCACATGGCCAACTGAAAGGTTTGAATTCCAGACTCAGCAGCTTTAGAAACATGCAGAGTGCCTGTGTATGCATGCCCAAAATCCTGAAAGGAGAGAAAGATGGCAAAGAGGAGATTACAGCATGACCACACCTTATCAGGAGGTGCTTTCTCTCCCTTTCTCTGTGCCTCTCTCACACATACTCTAGCAAAAAAAAAAAAAAAAAAAAAAAAAAAAGAAGCAACCTAAATGGTCTAATATTTTTTTCTTTTTCCTCGCATCTTTTTCTAATGTTTATTCATTTATTTATTTTTTGAGCAGTTTTTGCTATAGGGCACGTGTGCTCGCCAGAAAGACAGAGAGAGACAGAGAGACAGAAAGTGAGAAATCACCTCCCAGGGGGGATGGCCACGCTGCAATCCCTTCTCCTCCATTCTCCTCTCGGATCCTGGGCACGTATACACACGCGCCCGGTGTGAGTTTAAGCCACTGGGTTCGAGATTCGAACCACAGTCGACTACATGGGAGTTCAGCGACACAGCCATTATGCTAACTGCTGGTCCCTCTAAATTTTTTTTAAAGAATAAATAAACTATTTAAACCCTCTGAAAGGAAACACCAGCATAGAAAAAAAATTACATGGGGCTGGCCCCATGGCCTAGTGGCTAAAGGAACCAGATCCCAATTGGCAGGCAAAGATTCAAATCCTGACCTGGCAGCTTGAAACACACACCAGCATGTGTGTATGTGTGCCCAAATCCTGACTGGATGGAAAAGTGGAAGATAAGGGATTGCAGCATGGCCATACTCCATTGGAGAGGGATTTTCCCTCTTCCTCGGTCCTTTCCCCACTCTGGTGAGCGCATACCTTCTGGCAATAAAATAAACGCATATTTGCAGGGCCAGCAGGTGGTGTGGTGGTTAAAGCCCTGGACTCCCACATAGCTGACCACAATTCAAGTTCTGGACCCAGCAGCTTGAAATTCACACTGGGCACATGTGTGTGAGTACCCAAAAATCACAAAAAAAATGGAGGAAAAGGGATTGTGGCATGGCCATCTCCTCTGGGGGATAACTTCTCACTTTCTCTCTGTCTCTGAGTGCACATGCCCTATAGCAAAAATTTCTCCAAAACAAACAAAAAACCAATCTGCATGAGCAGAAGCTACTTGTATAGACTCGTACAACTGTCCCCCTAGGATAGCAGACCACCTCCCAGGGAGGCACAGAAGAAAAAGACACAGGAGACAGCTCTGTGTCCCTGGACAGACCACATTCCTCCCAAGAATGCCTGCACTGTCAGTCAAACCAGGGTAGGCTCGATTTGGGCTGACTCTGTATCCTACAGGCCCTCCTGATTCTAAGGTGCCGGGCAATCTACAGGACATGTCATCTCACAAGACTGTACCACCACAGGTACAGGCTCCATGAAACCTGTGAATAGCCTACATCCTTGGGCACATGCTAGTGACAAAATAACCTCCTAAGAGAGTGAGGGCCTCAAAAGCAGGATAGGTTCATATATCTACAGGGAAGGAAAGACCGACTGAGCCAGAGCAGAGGAATTATGGCAGAGGGGTAATGGGAGGGCAGGAGCGTGCACACAGAGCACAAGTGGGCCAGCTCTGCAGTCAGAACAACTGACACAGAGTACTGGCTAGCCACTCCCAAACCAGAGCCTGTGGGAAGTGAGAGCAGCAAAGGTACATCATGGGGATGCAAGCATAGGTGTACATCTGGAAGGCTCCAGGAAACACATATCAGTGTCAAGAGTGCTACTGATGATCTCATGACAAGCTTATAGAACAGATGTCTCTTTGGTGTACTTGTTTTCTGCAAAGAGCAAGCTCCACTTTGGAAAATCTGAACAACAGTACTTAGAAAACAGCAGCATAAGGCAGAAGCAGCTTTTGTAGGGGTAAAAACAAAATCTAGCAGCAGCACCGTCTGCTTGTTGCTAAAGCTACAGCTTCAACTTCCAGTCTTGAGGACCCGGAAAACTGCAGGTAGGTGGTCACACACTGACATAAATGCACAGCACTGAACAGAGGCGAGGTTTTACTTTAATAACTAAGGGTCCAGATGGTGGTGCAGTAAGTAAAACATGATGTTCTGCAAGGCTGACCCACATGGAAAAGTTCTAGTTCGCATCTGAAGATCTCCCTGAGAATGCTGGGCATGCTTTGCCCAGAATCCAGGCTGACTGAGGATGGGGGTGGATCACAATATCAAGACCCTATTGGTGGATTTCAACCACCAAGACCCTCTGCCCAGACTTCACCTTCCTGCTCCCCATGGGGTCTAGTCAGAAGCCAGGTTAGAACACCCTGTTTATTCTGTCTCTTTCCATACCTATTTTTTTTTTTTAAATTTTTAAACTTAGCTCTCGGCTGCTCTTTTGTCTTTCTAATTCTCACCTTTCCCACACCACCATAGGATAAGCCAATCAGCAGCCATCTATAGTTGAGTTACGAGCGGCACGCAATTTTCATTTTTTGAAAAAAAATTTTTTTTCTCTTTTTCTTATTGTTCTTTTCTTTTCTCTTCTTTGTTGTTTTTCTATTCCTTTTCCTTTTCTTTTTACCTTTCTCTTTTCTGCTCAGCCCCATATACTGATTTTCTTGATAGGTTAGGTGCTCAGTAGCCAAATATCTGAATACTTTTAGGGTCAGATTAATTCTCAATTTTCATTGAATCAGTTGTGCAAAGGGAGAAAAATGGTACTGTTTACAGACTGCAGGTCACCTCCTTCTGCATTCCTCTGATTGCTCAGATTTAACTCCAAAAAATAGGAAGAAGCATCTAATCCATCAGATGACCAGAAACCACCACAGAGGCACAAGAAATACGAGAAACAAAGGAAATATCTCTCCTCTAGTGGAAAAAAATAACTCTTCTTCAAGGGAGCTCATGGAAATGTCAGATAAAGAATTTAAAATATTCACAGTCACAAAGCTAACAGAGATGCAAGAGAATAGAGACAACAAACTCCAGAAGATGCAGGAGAAAAGAGACACCAAGTTCCAGGAGGTGAGGAAGTTCTTGCACGATCTGAAAGAAGAGATACATATCATAAAAAAGAATCAAATGGAATTGTTAGAGAGGAAGGCTCTAATACTAGGAAATCAAAACCTTGGCTGAAAATATAAAAAGCAGCGTATATCATGCAGAAGATCGAATCTGAGATGTAGAAGATAGAATCTCTAGCCTAGAAAAATTCACCAAAAAGACTGAGAAAATAACCCAAAAAAAGAAAATAACATATGACTAATACTTGATACCATTAAACACCCAAACATCCAGATCATCAGTATCCCAGAAGGTGAAGACACTAATAAGAGCATTTATAATCTATTCCATGAAATCCTGGAAGAAAACCTTCCAAACCTAAAGAAGCACTCAAATATCCTGACCCAAGAAATACAAAGGACCCCACATAGAATAAACCCAAGAAATCTTCCCCAAGACACATCATAGCCATATTGACCAAAACCACAAACAGAAACAAGATACTAAAATTGTCAAGAGAGAAACGTCAAGTTACTTTCAAAGGACATCCCATAAGGCTAACATCGGACCTCTCATTGGAAACAATGCCAAGCAAGGAAAGAATGGGAAAATATATTCAAAGTGCTAAGTGAAAAACAATTGCAACCAAGAATACTATACTCAGCAAGATTATCTTCCATACGGGGAAAAAAAAAAAGACAAAAAAACATTCTCAGATAAACAAAACCTGAAAGAATATATCAACACCATACCAGCGCTCCAAAAAGTGCTGAAGAGAGTGCTATACAAGGAAAACTAAAGTCAGACATAGAAATAAGAGTACAAGAAACAACCAAGAGAATGGCCAGCCTAAAGATAGTGACAAGTCTGAAGTTAAATGTTAACTTCCAGT